TGTGATGTGATGGTGATGGTAATGTGATGTGATGTGATGAGCTGTGATTGTGATGTGATGAGCTGTGATGTGATGTGATGTAATGTGATGGTGATGTGATGGTGATGTGATGGTGATGTGATTGTCCTTCGGATGAGACGTTAAACCGAGGTCCTGACTCTCTGTGGTCATTAAAAATCCCAGGATGTCTTTCGAAAGAGTAGGGGTGTAACCCCGGCATCCTGGCCAAAATTGCCCAGTGGCCTCTGTCCATCATGGCCTCCTAATCATCCCCATATATATATATACACTGATTGGCTTCATCACTGTCTCCTCTCCACCAGTAAGTTGGTGTGTGGTGAGCGTTCTGGCGCACTATGGCTGCCGTCGCATCATCCAGGTGGATGCTGCACATTGGTGGTGGTTGAGGAGATTCCCCCTTCCATGTGAAGCGCTTTGAGTGCCTAGAAAAGCGCTATATAAATGTAATGAATTATTATTATTATTATTGTGATGGTGATGTGATGAGCTGTGATGGTGATGTGATGGTGATGTGATTGTGATGTGATTGTGATGTGATTGTGATGTGATGGTGATGTGATGGTGATGTGATGAGCTGTGATGTGATGGTAGGGGTGTGCGATATCACGGTTTTTGATCGTGGACGATTAAAATGTTTCCACGATCTGCTTTTGAAGAAATATCGTAGTATCGTGCATTTTATCAGTTGCAGTTTTGGCGCCGAGCTCCGTCTCAACATACAACAAATGTTAACGCAGAGGAACGGGACACTGCAGTTCACAGAAGTTCATTATTTGCATGTGCTTTAAAGCCTCGCTGGTTAAACATGTAATTCACGTGCTGATGCGCTGTTCTGACGTGTGCTTTCTGAGCGCATACACCCGAAGCACACGGGCACTGAAAGCCTGTCTAACAGCGTCTGTTTACTGGACTACGTTATAAGTTATCTTTCGAGTCTTATTGCGCTAATATTGTCAAATACACACAAGGTTTACATAAACAAAGTAGGTTATGTCTAAAGTGAAAGCAAACAGAAAAAAAATGAGAGAAAATCTGCTTGTCAAATGCGTGTATATTAGACGCGTCGCGTGCAGCTCTTAAAGCGACAGTAGCCAGTTAGTAAACAAGCTGCCTCTTGTCCTTAAAGAGATAGCTCACCCAAAAATAAAAATTCTGTCATTATTTACTCACTCTAATGTTGTTCCAAACCTGTATTAATTTCTTTCTTCTGTTGAAAATAAAAGTTATTTGGAAGAATGTGGCTAACCAAACAGTTGCTGGTCCCCCTTGACTTCCATAGTAGGAAAACATATATGGAAGTCACTGGAGTACAGCAACTGTTTGGTTAGCCACATTCTTCCAAATAACTTTTATTTTCAACAGAAGAAAGAAACTTATTCGGGTTTAAAACAACTTGAGAGAGTAAATGATGACAATTAAAATGTTTGGGAGAACTATCCCTTTAATGTTAATAAAACAACAAAACACAAAGAGGAAATCACTCACTACTCTTGACTGAGAACTTTAGTAGTAGCTTTAATAATAATCAATGTATAATTTATACAGTGAAGTCTATGTTGTGTTTTATTTTCGTATTTGTTCATTTAGCCGAATTACTTTCTTCAATGCTACTGTTAAATACCCCTACTGTAGCTGAAAAAATAAAGCACTGTTTATTTCATTTGTATATTAAGTTGTGTATGCTTAATGTGTATCTTTGTTCCTAATTCTTAATAACAAAGAAAATAATGATAAAGATTTTTATCTTCGCCACTTTGGCCTAAATGTCTGCCATTCTTTTTTCTTTTGTTACCTATAAGGCTTTTTTTAAATAGGGACATTAGTTTGGCTGTAATGCTCAGTCACTAGCAAATTAGTAAAACCAACATGAAAAAGAATCGTGATAAAATCGTTAATCGTGATTTTCCTGAAAAAAATCGTGATATGAGATTTTTGCCATATCGCCCACCCCTATGTGATGGTGATGTGATTGTGATGTGATGGTGATGTGATGAGCTGTGATTGTGATGTGATGGTGATGTGATGGTGATGAGCTGTGATGTGATGTGATGTGATGTGATGAGCTGTGATGTGATGGTGATGTGATGTGATGTGATGAGCTGTGATGTGATGGTGATGTGATGGTGATGAGCTGTGATGGTGATGTGATGAGCTGTGATGTGATGGTGATGTGATGAGCTGTGATGAGCTGTGATGTGATGGTGATGTGATGAGCTGTGATGTGATGGTGATGTGATGGTGATGAGCTGTGATGTGATGGTGATGTGATGGTGATGTGATGAGCTGTGATGGTGATGTGATGAGCTGTGATGTGATGGTGATGAGCCGTGATGTGATGGTGATGAGCTGTGATGTGATGGTGATGTGATGGTGATGTGATGGGCTGTGATGTGATGGTGATGAGCTGTGATGTGTTGGTGATGTGATGAGCTGTGATGGCGATGAGCTGTGATGTGATGGTGATGTGATGAGCTGTGATGTGATGTGATGGTGATGTGATGGTGATGAGCTGTGATGTGATGTGATGTGATGTGATGTGATGAGCTGTGATGTGATGGTGATGAGCTGTGATGGTGATGTGATGTGATGAGCTGTGTTGTGATGTGATGTGATGGTGAGGAGCTGTGATGTGATGGTGATGTGATGGTGATGTGATGAGCTGTGATGTGATGTGATGGTGATGAGCTGTGATGTGATGGTGATGAGCTGTGATGTGATGGTGATGTGATGAGCTGTGATGTGATGGTGATGTGATGAGCTGTGATGTGATGGTGATGTGATGTGATGGTGATGAGCTGTGATGTGATGGTGATGTGATGTGATGAGCTGTGATGTGATGTGACGTGATGGTGATGTGATGGTGATGAGCTGTGATGTGATGGTGATGTGATGGTGATGAGCTGT